GCATTTGCATCTTTAAATGGGGCATGTGTTCTCCAGTTTGCCACAGGCCTCACCATTCCCTATTGCCCTAGTCTATTTACATCTTTCACTTTACTACCTGGTTCCTGGAGGTGTTTGAGTTTGTCGCCCCCCACCTAGAGTTTGGGATTGGGCCAAGCGGGCAGAAAGTCCTGTGGGACATATGAGGGGGAATTGAAAGGCTTTGGCTAAACATGGAAGGAACGTCTTTCTGAAAAGCCCTTTTTTCTTTAATGAACTTTTAGGGGGAAGGGGAAATATTATTATTAAAAAAACAAATACTGATATATGTTCGGGAGGGTGTGAAATTCATAAGGGTTATTAAGAGAAACCACAAAATGAGAGATTACTGTACGCCACTTCCTCTCCCCTTTTCAAAAAGTGTGATAAAATATATATAACATAAAATTGACCATTTTAACCATCTTTAGGTGTACAGTTCAGTGGCATTCAGGACATTCACATTTTTGTGCAACCATCACCACCATCCATCCCCAGAACTTTTTTCATCTTGCAAAACCAAAATTCTGTCCCCATTAAGCACTAGCTCCCCATTCTGCACCCTCCACAGCCCCTGGCGCCCACCATTCTACGATTTGCTCTAGGTGCTGCATGTAAGTAGAATCATACAGCATTTGTTCTTTTGTGCTTGGCTTGTTTAATTTACCATAATGTCCTCGAGGTTCATCCATATTGTAGCATATGTCAGAATTCCCTTTTTTTGGGCAGAGTGATATTCTGTTGTATGAATAGACCACATTTTGTTTACCATTCATCTGTCGACAGGCACTTGGGTTGCTTCCACCTTTTGGCTATTGTGAGTAATGCTGCTATGAACACGGGCCTCCCCTTTTTTTTGAGCTAAACTGAATGCTGTCACGATGAGAGCACAGACTTAGAAGTTGGCTTGATGAGGATTCAGCCCGGCCCCTACCCCTTGCTAGCTGTGTGGTGTTGGACAGTTCCCTTCATCCACCTAAACCTTGGTTTCCTCATCTGTGCCATGGATAAAATAATCATAATGTCACAGGTGTTAAGAGGGTCGAATGAGAGTGGATGTGAAATATTTATTGCAGTGCCCTGCACAGAGCAAGCACCAGCACGTCTTACTGTACTGTCTTACATTCATTCAGCCTTTTTTTTTTTTTTTTTTTTTTTTTTGAGATGGGGTCTTGCCATATTACCCAGACTGAACTTGAACTCCTGGGCTCAAGTGATCCTTCTGCCTCAGCTTCCCAAGTAGCTGGGACTACAAGCTTGCGCCACCACACTTGGCTTTGGTAGCCTTTCTTATCCCCCACATGAAGTCCATACCTTAGTGAATCATGTTCATTCTTGGTTCGTTTCTGTTCTATTTCTTTTTAAATATGCTGCATGCATGTTAGAGAAATTGGTAACCTAAGAATCCCATTTTGCTTTATTGTGCTATTATTGTCAGATTATCATTTTTTGAAATTATTTTTTACTTACCGACTTTATTTTTTAGAACAGTTTTAGATTTACAGAAAAATTCAGTAGATGATACTGAGAGTTCCCATATACAACCCCCATAGCTAGTTTTTCCCGATTACTGACATCTTACATTAGGATAGTACATTCGTTACAATTAATGAATCAATGTAGACACGTGATTATTGTAACTGAAGTCTATGGGCTTATTCAGATTCCCACAGTTTTTACCTAATGTCCTTTTTCTGCTTCAGGATCCCACCCAGGACACGGTGTTACATTTAGTCTCATTAGACTGCTCTTGGCTGTCATAATTTCTCAGACTTTCCTTATTTTTGGTGACCCCGACAGTTTTGAGGAGTACTGATCAGTTATTTTATAGAATGTCCCTCTTTGGCGATTTATGGCTTATTTTTTTTAAATTTTATTTACTAGAAGCTTACTATAAGTTAGTCATTGCATGAGGCATTGGGGATATGGCAGTGAGTCAAGATATTTTATAAATAGCATTTGTAAGTTTTTTTTTTTTGAGATAGGGTCTTGCTGTGTTGCCCAGGCTGGTCTAGAATTCCTAGGTTTAGGCAAACCTTCTGCCTCGGCCTCCCCAGGAGTTGGGATTACCATGCCCAGCTGATAAATAGCATTTATAAATCATTGACATAGGCTGTGGGGACTTCGAGAAAGCTGTATGTGCTGGAGCTGGGATTTGAACCCAGGCAGCCAGTCCTGGAGCCAACACCCTTGACTACTGTGCTGTTGCTGCCTCCCGTGTGGAGAGGAGGGATTTCTTCAGGCTGGTGTGAAGTAATAGGCACATCTTGAAAAATCAGGCAACCAAATGATGATCAGGAAAATAGGACTATAAGGAGAGCAAATTAGAAGTGAAATGGAGTCATTTCTGGTGAAGTGGATTAGGGAAAGTGAGTTAAAATAATCTTCACCTACATTTACCTTCTGAGCTCCTCTGCTCTTCCTGTGAAGTTTGTCTGTGTGATTTACTCTGTTCTTCAATGTCCCTGAAAGAGTATTTTTATACAATCCAAAAATTCATGATTGAGGTTCAGAATAGGCCAGTGACAGGTCAGTGTCCTTAAACACATTTTTTTTGTGGCATGCTGTGGATGTAGCCAAGAAAAACCCTGTCTGATGTGGTCATGGGGTGGAAGGTCTAGTGCTAGAGAGTGGGGCTCAGGGGCCCTGCCCTCTCTAGTCTGGGGCAGCATCCAAGTCCTTTGAGCCTTTTTGAGCTTTGTTACCTCACTTGTATGTTAGATAATTCCTTGGAGTAGCATCTTACACCTAGATGAGATTCTAATGTCCAGCCACACACAAGGCCAAAATCTGGTAGAGTCAGAATTAGCCTTGAGGAACCTTCAGACTGCTCACAGAGGAATGAACATGATGTGCCATGTGGGAGAACCCCACCCAGCCTGTCGGTATGTCCAGCACAGACAATTTTTCCGCCAGCATTTGGCCAGATGACTCCATCCTTGGTCAAACCAGATCACGTATCGACTTGTGTTTAGGACCCATGTTGCAAAGAACAATTACATGTCTTTACACACCAGGATTAGGATACATGAGGTCCCCTGACTTAGAGGACAGAGTCAAGGCTCTTTAAAGGTGTCCAGATCTCACAGTTGGTTTTGTTTATTTGTTTCCCTAAGTACATAGTTGAATTTGTGTACGTTGGAGGATCTGTGGTGCCACTCCCCAGCCCTCCCAGGGAACTTGGTAAGAGTTAAATGAAATGTGTGCAAGAGAGCCTGTGATGCTCGGGACAAGTGCTTGGTGTCATAAGTGTGATCATGGGCACTAAATGCATGGAAGTCACAGGGAGGTATGTGATTTTCGTTTTTAAAAAAATTTTTGGAGAGGGGGATATTGTGTGTTTTGCAGACCCCAGAGGACCCTGGTGACTTGGTTTCTATCGAACGTGTGGGGGGTGATGAAGTAGCGGGCAGGCATTGACTTTGTGGAGAGCGCTGTCTTTTGCTGGATTACCACCAACCAAGCCCCCTTCAGAGACCTCCCCTTCACCTGGGCTAATATGGCTCCTTTGTTTGGCCACAGAACGTCCTGAAGGAGCATGCAGATGATGACCCCAGTCTGGCCATCACTGGGGTCCCCGTGGTCACTTGGCCAAAGAAGACTCCAAAGGTAAGACACAGACTGCCCACAGCTGAGAGACAGCCTCCCACTGCCTCTCACACCTCCTGTAGCATGAATGTCGGCAGCTTTTTGGGCAGGGGGGGCTCCTGGGAGAGGGCATGCCAGTTAAGGTGAATGATTTTGGTGATTTGTTCATTGCAAGTTTTTGTTTTTTGAAAGGGATCATTTTACCCAGCTGTGGAAACTGCAAGCAGTGCCCCCTGGTGGTCACTCGGAAAGTTGTGGCGTGCCGATGCCTCACCTTTCCCTGCCACTTGGTAGATTTTCATTCTCTCCTTCCCTCGCGCTCTTGTTCTTTCCTTCCTTCCTTCCTTTTCCTCCAGCTGCTTCTCGGGCTGGTCTGCCCTCTTTTGAAAACAGCTTTTTTCTCTTGGTAAAACTGACTGATGCCCAACATAAAAATGTCTAATCAAACAGGACAAGTCAAAGACACTAGGAAGAATAGTAATAGTTTTATCACTGAGGGCTTAAGGAGCAGGTTGGTGTTGCCTGGTCTTCCACGTCGCTGATCTTATGTAGACTCTAACCCCCCTGTGGCGGGGGGAGTGTGACTCTCTCATTTTACAGATGAGGAAACTGAGGCTTACAAAGGCGAAGTCACTTGTTAGGACAGAGCCAAGTACTCAATTTTGGTTGGTTTGACAGCAAAGACCAAACTCAGCAAGCACCCCCCTCAGAGTCCACCACCCAGAGGAACGGCGACATTCTGGTGTGTGTCCTCCCAAAGGCTGGGCTAGGCGGGATATGTACGCGTCAGTCCACCTCTCTGCTGTCCGTCTGTCTACGCTCGGCTTCCACTTTCTCGGGCAAGTTACATAAGCTTCCTGGACCTTACTTCCCTCGTTTGTAGAAAGGGGTTTTATACCAGCACTTCCTTCACGTGGTCGTCAGGACCGAAGAAGATTACTAACACACTCAAAGCCCTCAGGACAAGGTGGTTAGCACTCCTCAATGTCAGTTGCACTTAAGCAGCCCTTGGCGTATTTTGCTCATTTCTGATTTTTTTTGCTATCATATAGAAAACACTGAGAGGAAAATTCTAGATCTGCGCTGTCTAAAATGGTAGATACTGGCCACAGGTAGCTATTGAGCACTGAAACATGGCTAACCCAGACCGAGATGTGCTATAAGTGTAAAATGTCCAACAAGTTTCAAAGACTTAGTACAAAAAAAGTGAAAAACCTCATTAGTTAATTTTTCTTAATATGGATTGCATGTCAAAATTACTGTTGCCAGATTTAAAAAAAGATACCCAGTTAAATATGAATTTTAGATAAACAACAAATAGTTTTTTAGTATGAGTATCTCTCAAATATTGCATGAGATATACTTATGCTCAAAAGAATTATTCATTGTTCAGCAGAAATTTCATCGGGTGCCCTGTATCTTTTTTAGACAGGGTCTCATGCTGTCTGGGCTACAGTGTGGTGGCATTATCATAGCTCACTGCAGCTTCCAACTCCTGGGCTCAAGTGATCCTCCTGCCTCAGCCTCCCCAGTAGCTGGGACCACAGGCACGCGTCACTGTGCTTGGCTAATTTTTTTACTTTTTGTAGAGATGGGGTGTCGCTGTGTTGCCCGGGCTGGTCTCAAACTCTTGGCCTCAAGCAATCCTCCCACCTCGGACTCCCTAAGTGTTAGGATTCCAGACATGAGCCACCGCACCTGGCCAATGCTCTATATTTCTACTTGCTACATCGGGCAACCTTAGTTGAAATGATAATATTTTTGATATATAAGCAAAATGGATTATTAAGATTAATTTCACTGTTTCTTTTTACCTTTTTAAATGTGGCTACAAAATAATTCCAAAGTATATATGTGGCTCGCCTTACATTTCCATTGGGGCAGTGCTGTTCTAGATTCTTTTCACTTTTGTTTGATTATCTCCTTAGGGTACATTCCTAAATGTGGACTTGCTGGGGGGAAAAGGGCATCCCTTACTCGTGGGAATGAAATTCTCTTAGAAGCTTGGCAGAAACGTAGGTGGCGATAGCGAAAAAGGATTCCCCCTGTGTGTTCTGCCTTTCCTTCCCCAGTCGGCAAAGTGTGCGGGGTGTTAAAGATGCTCTTCCCCTCCGTGTGCAGTAACCGCGCAAGTGCTGTTTATCAAACCACAGATTCTGCTTGCAGAGGCAGCTCCCTGAGACACCCCAGCCAGCCTGGGGCCTCCCTGAACCTGACAAGGAAAGTGGTGAGACTTCGCCCCCCTGCCTCCTTCCCTCCTAGCTGAGGCATTGCTCCAGGGGAAGGAGTAGGGTTCACAGAACACTGGCTTTTGGACAAACAAACTTGCCACTGCCCACTGCAACCTCAGAATTTGTGGAGAGGCCCACATGATCCTCTGACAGGGAAATCACGTCAGGTCGACAGATATGCCCTGTCTTCTGAGCCCGAGGCTCTAGCCCACCCCCTGAGGGGTTTATAGGCACTGTTTAAAAGAAAACCAAAACTGTGTTCCATTTCCTCTGAAGGCCTAGAAACAGGAAGGTAGCTTCTAAGGGGAGTAGACTTTATCTAAGACTCCTGCAGAGGATGGGTTTATAAACGCTGGTGTGCACACAGTGCAGCGTGGCTGTATTGTCGTGCTGGTGGGAGAGGTTGGAGGCCTCAAGCTGGGAGGGACAGGGTTGTGGGGAGGGAGGAGTCAGAACAGGTGACATTTAACGACACTTATGGGGTATGAGTCTAAAGAAACCTCATCAGTGGTCAGTCCCCTCTCCCCTAAGCTTCCTCTTCCTCCCACTAGCCCCTGGCAACTACTCATCTACTTTCCGTCTCCATGGATTGGCCTATGTGACATGTCATATATTGGAATCAGACACTATGCG